AACTCCTTAGTAGGAAACCAAAAAATCTGGTCAGAAATCTGAAATATTTGTGAAATTAGCAGTTTACATATATTTGTAAGTACTACTTTAAAAAAACACCAACGCAGAATTTACCAGCGTAAGAACCTGCGTGTACAGTTGAGTACGAAGCACACCCACACTGCCGTGCAGCGGTCCCTAGAACCTGTGTGTACAGTTGAGTACGAAGCACACCCACACTGCCGTGCAGGGGTCCCTAGAACCTTCGGCCCACGAAACTGAAACCCTACAGCAGACCCACCGAACAGCCCCCGCTCCCTCCCCCAGGCCTTGACAACCACTGCTCTACTTTCTATCTCTGAATCTGACTTCTTCTGACATCTCATTAGTGATCATGCAGTTACAGTATTTTTTTTAAGATTTCTCTTAGCAACTTTCAAATATGCTTGACAGTACTGACTAGACGTACTTATTTCATAACTTGGAATTTTGCACCTTTGACTTCCTCCACTCATGTGGCCCAAACCCACCCCTCCCCACCTCACCCCCTCCAAAATAGCAGCAGCATGGTCAACTGCATGATTAGAAGATCTTGCCCTGGCTAATGTGGCTCAGTGGACTGAGCACCGGCCTAAGAGGCCACTGGTTCAATTCCTGGTCAGGGCACATGCCTAGGTTGTGAATCAGGTCCCCACTAAAGAGTGCAAGAGGCAACCAGTGGATTCCTCTCCCTCTCTTTCCTCCTCCTTTCCCATCTCTCTAAAAATACATAAAATCTTTTTAAAAATTTAAAATAAAAAAGGTCTTAAGGTAATTTAGGGTTTCTGTGTCCGTAAGAGGAGGCATGCATGCTAAAACACAACCGGGAGGGAATATCAAAGGGCAACCATGGCTGCCTCTGAGAAAATGTTAGTTGAAGGTAGGGAGGAGAGTGAGTCTTTTTCACTACACACTCTTTTTTGCATTTTGATTTGTGTATCATGAGTATCTACTGTAATGGCTGTGTTTAATTAAACTGTTTAATAAATTAAAAGGGCTTCAACTTGCCATTATAAAAAGTATATACCACGGAAATTGCAGGAGGTGATTGCCGGCCTTCTTTCTCCTGAAGAGGCTGCTGGGGTCTGAGACAGGCCACCCGCAAAGACCCCACAATGGGATATTGATTACTCTGCATTAAGGTCGCCTGATGAGCAGCGGGTGCCACCTTAACACCCCTGCCCCCGCCAGTCTCCTTGAGTGCAGGAGATAAATCTCCCCTGTGAAAGGCGCCCTCCCTGCTCCAGGACCGCTGAGAGACAACCTTATCACAAAGGCTGACACATCCAGAGCCAGGGTGCGTCTATCAACACTTTACCAATTTACTAGCGGATCCCAAACTTCGTTGAGATCCCTCACTAATGAATACCCAAACCTTGCTTAGATTCTTTCTACTGAGCACTGACCTTCTTGTCCTGTCAATTCTTCACAAATTTGTTGTCTGTCTAAAAAATATTAAAAGATGTCTGGTTCAATTACCTCTTTGAGCCTCATTTTACGATCAGAGCATCCTACTGTGATTCTCCCGTGCACAGGTATTAAATCAGTTTTTCTCCGATTTCCGTTTTCTTGTGTCGATTTCATTGTTTTATTATTAGTCCACCTCTAAGAACTAAAAGAGAGGGAGGAATTCTTGCCCTCTCAACAAGGTCCTTCAAAGCAAAACTGAACATGAGGCATTTCTGCACAAAATATACAATAGGAGTTTTCTTCTATCCAAAAGGAAAAAAGTCTTGGTTCTGTTTTAAAGACTACCCTTAAATCAAACTTGGAAACAGCATCTACAAGCCATCATTTGGAGGCTAAAAACAAATGGTAAAGAGGATCTTAAAAGTCAGAGATCAATGTAGACCACAGAGGTACTTCTTAAACATTAATATGCTATAAATCACCTGATACACTAGGCAGGAGAGGGGCCTGAGACTCTAGGATACTGCATTTCTACATTTCTAACAAGCTATCAAGGCCAATTCTGCTTGTCTTGCTGGTTCATGGATCATACTTCGTAAGTATCAAAAGTATAATGTATGTAAGAAAGGTAAGATTCAAACTGCAAAACAGAATGGGTTTTACATGATAAGTTCAACAGGAAGAATTAGCCTGATTTTTGTCTAGGAACAATGAAACCACCTGACCACAATGAAAATCTGCTCCTCCATTCCAAAAGGATATACACACACTGATTCTGGGCAGGGTAAAGCAAAAGACACACTGGCCTGTCTCATGGAATGAACAATTAAAAGATGACTGAGAGGTACCATTGTCACACAAGGAAAACAGCCATGTAACTGTCCATTAACAGTCCATACAATGAAATGCTATGTAGTAATGAACAAATTACAACTGCTCCCTCTAGAATGGACTAATCTCAATCATGGTGTGAGATATATATGTATATATATAATTCAAGACATAGGAAAACATATTATGTTTTACTTTGTCCATATTTATTAATATAAACAAGGCAAAACTAAAATTGTTTAGGAATACTCTGTATGGTGAAGCTATAAAAACACAAGAAATTAATGAGTCAAAGATTACAACGGTGATAACAGGGAGGGGAGAAGGGATGGGAGAAAAGGATGAAACAAGAAGGGGCTTCAGAGATATTTGTGATGTTCTATAACTCAAGCTGAATGGCAGGCGACTGGATGTGTATTTTGTAACTATTTAAATTATGTACTATAGACACCATTTTGAATGGATGGCATTTCAATTTTTTTTTTTACAGTTCTTTGTTAATGTTAACAATGATCTTTTTAAAAAACTAGGTCTGGAAACTGGTGGTGCCAGATTCTGATAGTGGAAGACTGCTAATACTGACAATTTTTAACCATGGACTTCAAGAGGGAAAAAGTGGGGACTAAGTCTGCCACATAGAGTGCTAAGTAAAGAGACAGATCTGAACATATGGAAAACTCTTGAAAATGTTAAGATGTTAAGGAAAAGGAAATGTTAAAGAAACAAAGGAACTGATGAATAGAACCAAATGTAGGTAAGAAAAAGTTCAAGAACACAAGAAGAAAAACTGGCCTTGGCCACTATCAAGGTGCCAGGAACAAATGCAGTTAAACATCAGGCTTACCAAATATATTGTTCTGTGTGGCTAGAATTACAGTTCCTAGGAAGCTTGGAAATACCAGAAACTAAACCTAAAGACAAAAGCAAGAGCAACATCCAGTGAACCTTGAACTCACTGAAAACATTTTAGAAAGACAGTTACCAAGATCTGAACTTCCACATTAAGTGAATGTTTTAGTAACAGTATGAAGAATAGACTGAAGAAGGTTAAGATAACAACTCAAGATACCATTAAAATAATTTATTACAGAAGATTATCAGAATGTGAACTAAGAGTAGCATAAAAATAAAATGAGATATTTTATTCATTCATTCATTTCTTCTACTAATCTCAGTTAGCAGGTTCAGTATAAGGAGTAAGAAGTGAAAAAACATAGTCCCTGCCTGCCCTCAGTAGCTAGCATTCTGGTGGAGGAGACAAGACCAAAAAAAAAAAACCCTATGAAGGAAACACAGGGTGGTGTGATGGAGAGTGATGGAGGCTACTTTAACAGGGCCTTTCTTGAGATGGTGTCATTTAAGTCAAGAGTGAGGAATACTTGAGAGACTATTTCAGTCAGGGAAAAGAAAGAACTGAAAAGTCATCGTGACTGGAGCCTACATAAAATAAAAGTATGAGGTGTTTGCAGAAAGAGACAAGAGTAGCCAGACCCTGAAGACTGTGGTAAGAAGTCTGCATTTTAAGTGGATATGATCAGGGCACCTGGATGAAAAGTGGGTGAATTTGATATATTATGGAGGTGGAATCAATAGGATTTGCTGAGGGACTGGATGTTGGGGAAGAAATATAGGTTAATGCCTACGTTTGTGATTTATTTAAATAGGTAGATGGTAATTCCATTTACTAAAACGGGCGAGACTAAAGTAATACCAATGAGCAGGAGGGATGAAAGAAGTCACTAGTTTTATTTTGTACACATTCAACTTGAAATGCCTATGCAAATAGTGACAGTGAAGCAGGGAGCTGAGTATTCAAGAGTGGCATTCAAGAATCAAGTCTGGCAAGAAATATAAATCCAGGAGTTATCAGAATATAAATAATAATTAGAGCCAAAAGAGGGGACCTTAAAGACAGTTTACTACTATAACTATTTACAAATAATAACAATGGCAGCTAAAAGGAAATGGAAACTTACTGTGCCCCAGATACTGTGCTAGCTATTGAAACATATTCTGCCAATTTTAAACCTCAACTCAACTCAGATGAGGAAAATAAGGTATAAAGAGATTAGGTAACTTGTCCAGTGTCATTCAGCCAACTAGAAGTGAGATTCAATTCCAAGCACTTTGGCTCCAAAGGTGTGATTCTAACTAGTCCTGTTACACTAGTCAAGCAAAGACCAGATATTAGGAATTCTAAACCCAAATCCTGAGGCACTCCTGACATTCACAGAGGTGTAAAGCAGCAGCCAAAACAAAAGCTGTTTATTCCAATTACGCGGTTTCAGGTAAAGCACTAACGAACAAATGCAAAAGTATATCTCCACTGGGGGAATTAAGGATGTCACATCCCACCAGGAAAGCAATAAAGTTTACCTTTCTCTCCCTTTCCAAAAGCTTTAAAGTCTTAGATCCTTCCCGACACCTCGGTCACCTACTTGTCTCCCAAAAAATTCTTCCTGCAAATCCGCTCTCCTAAGCATCTCAAAACAAGACCCGGAGAAACTGTCCCACCCTTAGATTCGGTCCCCTTTCTCAGCCCTCAATTCCCCCGTCGGATGAAAGGGAAGGCTGTTGCTTCTCCAGAACAAGACGCGGAGATGCAAAAGGCGGACTTTCCGAGAAAACCTTGGCCCAGCCTCATCTAGCCCAGAGGGGAGGCTGCTGAGAAGCGCTTCTGCCGGGTCCGGGCTGGGTACTACGCTACCCACGTGGACCCCGGGAGACGGCAGCGCACTCACCAGGCCATCTATCTGTACTTGCTTCACTGCCGAATCTCCGGACCCGCCTTTGCCTTTGCCTTTTCCGGCCGCACCGGTGTTGGAGCTAGAAGACGTGGTGCCCGAGCCGGTACCTTCCTTGCGGGACGCCATCTTTCCAGTGGGACAGGAAGAAAGAGAAACTTGAGTAATCGGAAACGGAAATACAAGTTTCCCGTGACGTCACGCGGGGTGCGACGTTCAAGGGGTGGGGCGGGGAAGCAAAGGCCGGAGTAGGCCCCGCCTCCGGTCTCCTTTCCAGCCCTACCTACTTCCCCGAGGGAGTGGTTTGCGCGTTGAAGCTTCACCGTAGGAAGCTTTAAGCAAAAAGTAGGCTTTTAAAAATGTTTTCCATTTTACATTTAGTCTCCGTTAGGCTGTTGGTCATAATAACATTACAATTCACTTCTAATTTTTGGTTAATCCCAATTCCCAACCTCGCAAACTGTGAAGAGTTTCACTAACTCGCATTACGCGTATTAGGAAACAGACGTGATTTATCCAGCCTCATTCTATTAATTATTGGTGACTGGTGTCGCATTTTGTCTTATGTAATTGTAGATAGCTGTCTCTAACCACTTATACAGAAATTAATTAAAACATGGGAACCTTTTTCAGAATTAGCAGGACTAACTGCCCTTTGCTGCTATAGGTTTCGTTAAGATTAACATAAGGGCCAAAAAGTTATTTTATGCAAAATATTGAAGTACGATGCAGAATATATTCTCTAGTCATGCTTACTTAAGTTTGAAATACACATCTCAAGTCTTTAAAAAAATACTTGACATCTTTAGAAAACCCTCTTAGGTAAGGAATTTAAAACCTTTCTCTGCTCCCAAATACATTTTGCCTATTCCTTATTTTTGAAATGTTTACTCATTCAACAAATACGTAGGCAAAACTGATGAAGTGATTACATCAATGAAGGGTATATTCCCTACTCTGAAGTTTTTTGTTGTGGTGTTACAATCTGGAACAGAAACTGTTACACCTGAAAAATTCATTTACACACTGAAAAATTCATTTACACACTGAAAAATTTGTAAATTTTCATGTGTAAATGAAAACATGTAAAATGTTTTCAATGTAAAATGATATATACATTTCGGCCTTAAAAAGAAAAGGAAGTCTGATAAATGCTGCAATATGGATGAATCTTTAAAAATGCTAAGTGAAATAAGCCAGACACAAAACAACAAATATTGTAGGGTTCCATTTACATTAAGTACCTAGGATAGTCAAATTTACAGAGAAAGGAGATAGTGGTGACCAAGACCTGGAAAGAGGGAGGAATGGGGAGTTCTTGTTTAATTAGTGGAGAGTTTCAGTGTGAGACAATAGAAAAGTAGTAATATTTGCACACAAATGAGACCATATTTAATGGCACCGAATTGTACGCTTGAAAGGGGCTTAAATGTTAAAGTTTACATTTTTGCCACAATGGAAAAAAAATAAACTGGAACAAAATATGAACAGAGTCTTAATGAACTGTGGAACTATAAGAAAAACAACAATCCTGTCACAGAAATTATAGAAGAGAAAGAGAGCAGGGGTTAAAATGTATTCAAAATAATGACTGAACACTTCCAAAATACTAGGGGAAAAGTAAAAACCTAACCTGTTTAAGAAGTTTGAGTGAATCCTAATTGGATGCATCCAAAGGAATTCACACTAAGACATATCAGAGTCAAACTTCTAAAAGCCAAAGAAAAAATCTTGAAAGCAACAAGAACCAGTGTCTTACTTAAAAGAGAAAAATGATTAGAATTAAAGTGGATTTTTCATCAGAAACCAGAGACCAGAAAGAAGTTGCATAATATTTTTCAACTGCTAAAATAAAAGAATTCCCAACCCAGAAACCTACACTCAGCCAAAATACAACTAAGGAATTAAAAAGAAATCAAAACATTTTTGAATAAAAAAAAAAAAAACAAGAGAACTGTCATAGCAGCTCTACCCCAAAAGAATGCCTAAAAGTAATTCTCAAAAAAAGGAATAAAAAAAGAACCTTGGAACATTATTAAGGAAGAAGAACACAGTAAACAAAAATTAAGGCAATTACATGTTCCTTCTTCTCTTGGATTTCCTAAATTATTTTTCAGGGTTCAAGCAAAAATTAGGAAAGCAAGAAAGTCAACCATTGTTACAATTATTCTATTTGCTTTAAGTGAAGTAGATCTGGTATCAGAAATACATAATAAAAACCAGACTATTGACACAACTTTCATAAGTTAATGTCAAACCTTAGATGATTGACCTACATCTATTTTTGGCCATGCAGGTAACTTATGTGTGAAAAATGTGTCAGCTCAAATGGATTGAAAGACTTCACCACTTGTCCTCATTTATATTGTATAGTTCTACGCAGCTGCTGTGGCTGCTAGCAATTCATGAAGGAAATAAAATCAGTGATGACTCTGACTTTAAATTTTTAGAGCAGGTTTATACTTAACACTGTCCATATTTATATAGGTTGCATATTGAACAGAGTTTGTGAGTGTTATGATTATTACTTTAGGTTTTAATATAATATATGCTTACTGAACCAGGACTGAATTTTTTAAGCAAAATTTGCTGGAATGGCCACTATATCCCCCTCCCAAAGAAAGGAGTTGAGTTTTGGGGCTGAATGAGGAGAAAAATCCTTCACTATGTTTGGGGAAAGGAAACATAATCTAAAATTTGATTTTAAAGAGCCATGACTTGGGGTGATGTTATTTTTACTGGGGACCACTAGAACTGAGTTAGGTAGACATGTTTTAACTCAGGTTTTACTTTTAAGGCTTTCAGATCGCAACTTGGAGACACCAAGCAGCAACCAGATGCTTTGGATCATTCACATAAAGAGGAAGAGTCATATATAAACCATAAAACCCTTTATAAGAAATCTATTTAAAAATAATTATATGAACTAAACTTATAAAAGCATATCAAAACTTGAATATATTCATAAAACAAAAATTAAATACTGATACTGCCTTTTTTCTTTAGTTGTTTATGCTCACAGCAAACCAAAGTGCAACATGTTCAAGAGAAAGATCTGAGTTTGTGGTGTCCTCACTTCTAAAAATGAAATGTACTTGTTCTCTCCTTTTATCATTCAAGGTCTGAGTATTTAAGAGGATTGTTAGAGTTGAGTCAAAGAACAGAGAATGGAGAAAAAGAGGCAAGAAAATACAGACTGGGTTTGAAGGGAGTTGGGAAGGCTGGTTTTTGGTAGATGGTTTCTGATTTGCTCTTCAGATAAGCTCACCATCCGTGTACCCTGATCTGTAATTCCAGGGGGCTGACATTTAAGGGCTTTACCAAGCAGTGTCTCTTGCTCTGTGTCTTCAGGTTGGGTTTGGCTAATGTGAGCTGCCAACAGGACATTAGAAGTCAGGAGGAAAGGTAAGGGGATTTACTTCCAGGAACCCCCTCAAACTTGAGGCTGGCAGTGGCTGCCATTTGTCTATTCAAGGTCACAGTTCTTGCTAGATGGCCTTCTAGTTCAAGGACAGGATATTTTGGTTTGTAGTCTCTATGCCCCTTCAAGCCTAGTGGTGTTAAAAATACTGGCTTCTCACAGTTGCTAGGCTCAGAGTACTTCATCTTCTCTTGCTTTCCCTCCATTCCTTACACATTTTAGTAAGTAGTATCCTCATTAAATGTAATTCCCTCACTTTTTCCAAGTATATCATTAATTTTCAGCCAGGACTCTGACTGATACATTGGTACTGGAGAAGGGGAGAAACTTTAGGGTAGTATTAGGGTGTGATAATCTGCTAGAGAGAGAGGATGAGAAAGTATTCAAAGCCTTTTACAGCATTCTGTGAATGTAACATGACTTCTTCACGTAAGTGACCCTAATAACTTCTTAAACTGCCTTATTATTGCGGCTGGGTTCCTGTTTATTTGCATGCACATCCAAGATAGGACATGGCTATGAGATAGATGCCTAGGATTTACATGACTAGATAACACTACCAGATCTGTGTGGATGGCTTATATTATATTGAGACACTTTTCTTATGGAATAAGGATCATCCCACCCCAGTGTACCTGCTAAGTTTTTCTTGAAAGTCAGTATTTGCTATAGTGTGAAATTTGTTTTTACTGTCATGGCAAAACTGTTTGACTTTTTAATATTTTTTAATTCTCAAACAAAAATTGGGGAAGTACAATAAATTCCTTCAAAAGCTAATTATTCAGTTCATATTATTACATTTAGACTCATAATGAGATTTTACATGTTTAAGCATCAGTCTAAAAGTGGACATAAAACAGGTAAATGTGGTTTGTCCATCACTGTAACAGTTTATATAGCTGAGAATTCATATCTCAATTAGTATTTCCTCTCTCACTAGAATCTACCACATTCCGGCGACAAATAGGACAGGTGGAGTTGTCAGAAAGCCAGCGATCGATGCAGCAGACGTGAAATTCATGGGAGCAAGGGAGGATGCGAAGCTGGCTGCCTTCTCTGTACTCTGTGATGCAAATGCTACACTCATTTAATGTATCATCTTTAACAGAAGATCTTGTAGCCAAGTTGTCAATCTGTGCTTCACTGAGTCCAGTAGGATGGTCATCAAGGGAAGGCCAAGCATCACCTTCATCACTGCTTTCAAACAACACTGTGAGAGTTTCTGAACTTTCATCACTGGAGCTGGAACTGGACATCAGACTAGAAGTGGAAGTAGACATGTAACTGGAGTCTGAACTAGAAATCACTGTGACAGGTGGGTAGTAATCCCAGCTACTAAGTGAATTGGAACTTGAATCCCTACTACCATGAGAACTGTCACTTCCACTGGATGACGTGTTTGGACTTGGTGATGAGAAACTAGACTCTGAATCACTGTCACTGTCCAGAAGGCTTCTTGTGTCACTAAAATCTGTCATTGCCAGGCTTAACATGTTTGGAATTGCACCAGATGTTGTATCATTTAAACTGGTATTTAAAGTCCTATAAATGGGAATCCTGATGGTACTGACATAAGCTGTCACATCTCCCTGTTCATAATGTAAAAACATATGCCCAAATCCTTCTTGCTCACTTTCTGAAGTGATGGTATGATTTGGTGTCTCAGATGGTATCTGACTTCTTCTAGTCACACTTTCTCTCTCAGAATATGCTACAGGATGAACCTGTCCTGTTTCGGAATAGAAGGATATGGTTGGATACATGTGTCTCAGGTGACAAGATTGACCATCACTGGTTGTGTCTGGAGAAGATTCTCCTTGTATGGCATTCCTTGTTTCAGAATTTGCAAAAAGAACTCGTTTTTGCAATTCACGTGCAGTTATTTGCTGTCTCAATGTTTCATGGTGCTGAATTCTAGAAAATCTCTCAGTCTCATGTACCATAGGCTGCTCAAAAGTCAGAGATGATGCACTGTGGTGGAGCCTTGGCAAAAGTTCACCCAGTGACTGTGCAGGTGACCTGCTTTCAGTACTCACTCTGGTTCCGCTCTGGTCTTGGCTTCTGCTTCTTGCTGTTTGCTGACCTCTGGTAGGTGGGACTTCCAGTAATGCTCCAGTTCTGCTTTGCTCTGATCTACGTGGTCTCGTAAATCTTGGCTCAGCTTGTGGACATTCTACTTGCCTTTGGCTGTTTTTCCTATTTCCTCCTGTGGGAAGCCTTGTAGATGGTGTGTACTCTTCCCTTGCTTTTGGACCCCTGTTGTTAAAGTTGACATTGATTTCTGAACTGGATCTGAAGTCACTGGGTGGCTTGAACTGGCTCACTTCCCTCCAAGGTTGGTGTTCTCTTTGCCCAGTTCTCACATTTTCAGCTCGTGTGGCAGAGTTAAACTGGTCCATGGCAGAGCCACTCCTCAGAGATGACAGGCTGTGCTGCGGTCTCTGTGAATGCAGGCCGAGTAAACGTGGGAGAGGCGTGCTATCAAATCTTGCCCTGGTTCTGCTGTGGTCCGGGCTCCTGCTTCTGTCCCTTTTCTGACCTCTGGTAGGTGGGACTTCCAGTAATGCTCCAGTTCTGCTTTGCTCTGATCTAGGTGGTCTTGTAAATCTTGGCTCAGCTTGTGGACATTCTACTCGCCTTTGGCTGTTTTTCCTATTTCCTCCTGTGGGAAGCCTTGTAGATGGTGTGTACTCTTCCCTTGCATTTGGACCCCCCTTGTTAAAGTTGACATTGATTTCTGAACTACATCTGAAGTCACTGTGTGGCTTGAACTGGCTCACTTCCCTCCAAGGTTGGTGTTCTCTTTGCCCAGATCTCACATTTTCAGCTCGTGTGGCAGAGTTAAGCTGGTCCATGGCAGAGCCACTCCTCAGAGATGACAGGCTGTGCTGTGGTCTCTGTGAACGCAGGCCGAGTAAACGTGGGAGAGGCGTGCTTTCAGATCTGTTCCTGGTTCTGCTGTGGTCCGGGCTCCTGCTTCTGTCCCTTTTCTGACCTCTGGTAGGTGGGACTTCCAGTAATGCTCTAGTTCTGCTTTGCTCTGATCTAGGTGGTCTTGTAAATCTTGGCCCAGCTTGTGGACATTCTACTCGCCTTTGGCTGTTTTTCCTATTTCTTCCTGTGGGAAGCCTTGTAGATGGTGTGTACTCTTCCTTTTCATTGGGACACTCATTGGGAAAGTTGACATTGATTTCTGAAATGGATCTGAAATCACTCAGTAGATTAACCTGGCTCACTTCCCTCCTAGGCGGTTGTTCTCTTCGCCCAGCTGTCACATGTTCAGTTGTTTCGAATGACATCAGCCAGTCTAGTAAAGAGTCACTGCTCGATGCATCATCCACACGGTCTCCTTCATCTGTTAACCAAAAAGGGAGATACTCAGAAAGGAGCTAACAAGATCATAGCCATCATAAAGTCGTACCCTGAAACTTTCTTTCAAAAACAAACAAAAGTGATTAAAAAACACTCCAATTTTTAAAAAATATTTCACATTTGTAGAGTTAATATTTTGTAAACTATGCTGTAAATTGACAGGTAAAGGCAAGAATGTTTCAGTTCCATCTGAGAAGAAAGATGGTCCTAGATAAATTTAAAGAAATGTTTTTTTAAGCAATCTGGAGGATGTTTATTTTCAATATTCCATCAAATCCACAGCCCCTTGTACCACTGTGAGAGGAGTGTCACGACTCTGTTCACTCCACTGTCAAAATTTCCTAGTGCCATTAAACAAGGTGAACACCAGTTAAGATTCAGTGCTTGTTCTTCTACTTCACTTTACATTATTGTGTAATTCTCATTACTCTATGATATCACTTTTAGGCTTTTGACCTCTAGAGCTTCTGATAACCTATAAAGTCATTTTAAAATATAAAACTATTATGGCCATTAGCCAAATATAAAGAAGGTTTACAGGTTTAAAAGTATTTGAATGCTTCTTAATGTTACCAAGAGTTTGAATTGGCATGAAATTGAGAGTTAGATCAAATGAATAGACTGAACCTAGCTCAGTGCCTACAATGCCATTTTGAAGGACCACACTATTTTAGTGTCTTCCTCATTACACAGTAAAAGTCTCTACCTCACACTGGGAGAGAGGCCCCAGACCTGCGCTGAGAGGAGGGTTTCTCAGCCTTAACACTACTGACATTTTGGCAGTGTGCATTCTTTGTTTGGGGCTATCCTGTGCATTATGGGATGTTTGGCAGCATTCCTAGCCTCTGCCCACTGGATGCCAGTAGCGCCCATCCCATATATGTGACTACCCAAGACATGTGTAGGCATTGTCAAGTGCCCTCCATTGAGAGCTATGTAATGAGAATATGAAACACGTATTTTTGCTGGTGAGGAAGTCACGTGCCTATAAAGGAAAAACTGATTTAGGAAGAAGGGGGAACTTGCAATTGAGGTTTAAAACCAAGAAAAATATCAATAGATTATTTCACCCTGTTTCTGAATTAAAATCATGCAAATGTGAGTTAGGAAGAAAATGTACCTTGACATTCTTACCAAAAGCAAGTAATGCCGGTTATTTTTTAATGATAAGGTACTTGGGACCAAATTAATTTCTGCCCCTCTGTATTATCTCTTGCTGACTTTTTCTGTTACGAAGTTCCTTACCCATCCTATCATATTCCCCTCACAAGAAGAGTATACGTATACCTGTACTTTCATCTGAGTTTTCCAGTAGGTTTTCTTTACTAAGTAGATGTCTTCTATACAACTCTTCACCTGGGTCGCCTAGCAAATCGTTATCCCTCATAGGCTTGTAATCGTCTTTACTCAGGTTATTCACAAATTGATAGAAATCTTCTTCCTGAACCGATTGGTCCATCTGACTTCTGTTCCGGGCCTCAGATTCATCTCTTTCACTTCCAGAGTCTGAGTTTTCCATCCTGATGAGCAAGTAGAAAATTATCTGACTTCTAGAAAATGGTGTTGATACACAAACTAATACTTTCTGCTTCCCTGTCAGGATACAACTCAGTCGGATCTGCCTCCACTTCTATTCCTCTAACCTCTCAAGCAGCTGCAATTCTGCAGCTTCTGGTGAGTCAGCTGTAGACACCTGCCTTTATACCAGGCTTCTAGTCATCATTGCCTAGGCAACCATGATTACCCCATTGTTACCAAATTGGGACAGCATTCAGGTTAGGATTCATTTCATTTCAAATCAGCAAATACTGACAAAGATTTATCACCTCCTTTAACCCAAGTGAGCCTGCTGTCGGTCTTTTAGAGACTTTTTCAGGCTCTGATACTAGTTATCAGAGCTCAGGTTCTAGTTACTTGCATGTTAAATTACAGAACCCAAGTGCAGCTAGTTAGCATTATACATGACCGCCTTATTCAAAATGTCCTGTCAAAGTCACCCTAGTTAAATGCAACAATTCTCATTTTCAGGTGCCCAGGGACCTCTGTCTTTTCTCCCCATAATTTCATAAATCATAGACACTCACTTAAAAGCCCACAATTTTTTATCATTCTCCAGGGCCACAACAGAATCTGTTTAATTGGGTCCTTTCCCTGATATAATAGCTTCATCTTGCATTGTACAATTCTTCAAGCTTCTGTTTTAAAAAGTAAAGAAATTTAATGCACTAATTACAAATTTTGCAGGTTTTCTCTCACCCAGAGAATCCCTTAAGGAATTCTCCATAAATACATCCTGTTGCATTTTTGTTTTTCTTTCTCATAAGTATTATAAATATTACTTAACCAGAACTAGCCAGAACCTCACAGGCACTTTTGAAACAAGATCCATAATAGTTATTTTGCCTACCATAATGAGTGCTGACTTTGCTGATTTTATTCCATATATGTTAGTGCAGCCAGGATGAATTGGTAAAAATGATGCTCATTTGCAATCCTATCTGAAAGAGGCCTCTAAACATTTCTTGACTCTTTAATATTACCAAGTGCCACTTAACACTTGCCTGGAAATACTTTATTCAAGTTGTTTATGTAAAGACAAGATCTGGCTGCTAAATTTGAGACATTAGTTCATTTGACTTCATAATTAACTCATCCAACATAAACTGAGTCAGTTACTGCCCCAGCCATTAGAGATATATTAAATGTTGCAGCAGTCTGTACTCTCAAGTAATTCACACTCCAAGTAAGGTAAACATTACATAGAAACTATCACAATGCAATATATTATATGTTGTAATAGATTTATATATGTAGTATTGTGTAAGTGTGAGAACTGTGTGATGATTATTTAATGGGAGTTGGGAAATGTTTCATAGAGACATTACATTTAAATCTGAATCATCAGTAGATGAGTGGATAAAAAAGACGTGGTACATTTACATGATGGAATGCTATGTGGCTATAAAAAAGAAGGAACTGTTACCCTTTGCAACAGCATGGATGGACCTGGAGGTTATTATGCTAAGCAAAAAAAACCAGTCAGAGAAAGAAAAATACCATATGATCTCACTCATATTGGGGATCTAATGAACAAAATAAACCAATGAACAAAATAAAACCAGAGGCATGAATACATGGAACAAACTGACAGAGCTCAGAGGGGAGGTGGGTGGGGTGACTGGAAAGACTAGCCAGAGAACATATATGCACATCCACATCCACTAACTCAGCAGTGTGGCGAAGGCTGGGTGGGGAGTAGCGTCAGGGGCTGCGTGGATGGCGGCAAGGTGGGGAAAGTGGGGGGCAGCTGTAATAGAGTCAACAATAAACGTTTTTAAATAAATATACCTGTATCCTTAAATATTATTACGAGTTCCTACAGATGGAAAGTAGCATGTAGGTTTGTGTTGGTAAAGAGGGACTATGTCAGACAGAAAGAATAGACTTGAAAAGACCTTGGCAACCATGCCACCAGATTTAGGCAACCATAGCCACACTTTGGGATTAGAGTGGAAATGTGAAATTAATCCCAGGAGGAATAATTGACACATGGTACAAATTGAGTTTTGATTTTTTTTTTCTGTAAGAAATAGGACACTGGTTAAGATATTGAATTTTTTTTTTTTTTTAGAGAAAAGCAGTGGATTTTGTTTTTTCCTGCTTAGCATCCACCTAACATATTTACGATAATAGCACCCCGACTTTCCCAGGGAAAAACCCATTGTCCTATCTTAGTCCACTAGGTTTAGATATAACTGAATTCACTGTCAAGGCTACAGGAAAGGATGTGTGATGTAGCCGTGTCCAATGAACATATTTCAGATTGCTGGCTGTGGTATGTTTTAAGCATGGGCATGTTGCCAAAATTAAATTTAAGAGTTAAATTTGAGAAGTTAACAGAAACTACTGAAAATGAGAAATTATTTTCAACTGTGGTTGCTAAGCTGGTGGGATGGAAACCTAAAGATGCCTGTGACTATCTCGTGTACATGAGAATGAAGAAAATCAACCTAAAGAGAGGAAAATAATGATGGAGAAAGAGCCAGATACATGAGGAGAAAAATGGAAAAATACATGAAGATAGTTGTGCTGTAGTGTTTTTAGTTCCGTAAACCAGTGTATTTCATTTTGTTAAATGTAAACTTGTGAAGGATTTCTGTCACTTGTAATTGTGAGGACTAATAATTGTAACAGGAGAGTGATATGATCAGTCATCTACTCTGATACCAGAGAGTAATTTTCAATAAATTTTGCATAAAGACTCATTGGTTATGGTCCACTCTATAAAATTAACATGTTTATATATAATAAAAAAGCAAAAATTATAACAGTATTCAATGTGGTTCTAAATGTATGTAGATACGTAGAAATTTTAAAACAATTATACTATTAAAAAGAGCTGGTTAAGGGGCCTAGACAAAGGTAAGGTTTCTATACTTACCTCAAACTGGTAAAATGAACTAAACAGCAAACTAATAAGTCACTCAAGTCTAACATAATACCTAGCAAAATACCAAACTAATTTATTCAAATCTAATACAGCATTGAGGAGTCCACTATAATAAAGCTTTACAAAGAGTACACTAAAAAGCACCCTAGGTAAAGCGATATGAAATTTTAAAGAGTATTCAATAGCCACAAAATGCATTAAAAAGAAAATATATATCAATATGTATCAATAATTATATGAATATAAATACTCTAAATATATCAATTAAAAGACAAATATTAGTTGAATGGATAAAAATGACCGAACCACAAGCTGTCTAAAAGAAACTCAAACTATAATGATGAAGGCATAATGAAAGTAAAATGATGGGAAAATATATCATGCCAACATTAATCAAAAGAAAGCAGGAATGGGCATATTAATATCAAATGAAGGAGAATTCAAAGCAAAGGAAATCACCAGAGATAGAAGGAGGCATTTTATAATGATAAAATGGTCAATTACCAAGAAACATCTAACGATTCTAAATGTGTGTATGCCCCAGCAACGAAGTTGAATTTATGGGAAGAAAAATTCATAAAACTCAAAGGATAAATAAACGAAGCCACAGTCTTCATTGGAAACATCCATTTCCCTCCCTCGACAGTTGACAGAACAACTAGAAAGAAAATCAACATGGATATAAAGGAGCCGAGCAATGGCATCGATGATCAGTAGGCTCTAATCAACATTTATAAACCACTTCACCCAACAACAGAACACACACTCTTTCTCAATGCCCATGGAATATATAGAGCATATCCTGAGCCATCAAAAAACTTCGAATCTCCAGTCACAATGGATTCAAAATATAACTCAAAACATAAAGGTAACAAGATTTCCAAATACCTAGAAATTAAACAACGTACTTGTAATAACCCATGATCAAACGGGAAGCCTTTACGGAAATTTAAAAATGCATGGACAGCCCTGGCTGGTGTAGCTCAGTGGACTGAGCGCGGGCCTACGAAGCAAAGAATCGTGGTTCAATTCCCAGTCAGGGCACATGCCTGGGTTGCAGGCCGGTTCCCTGCAGGCCAGTTCCCAGCAGGGGATGCATGAAAGGCAACCATACATTGATGTTTCTCTCCCTCTCTCCTTCCCTTCCCCTCTGAAGATAAATAAATAAAATCTTTAAAAAAATGCATGGACAAACACTCATTGAACTGAATGTAAAAATATAAAATATGTACAGGACATGGCTACATCAGTGCTTAGAGGGAATTTATAGCTAAATACAAACATTACAGAAAGGGAAGTGTCTCAAATCAATAACTTGAGCTCCCTCTTGAAGATCCAGAAAAATGAGAGCAAAATAAACCTAAAATAAGAGCAGAATATATTAAATAATCTAAATAATGAACTAAAATAATAGATTAAAGCAGAATACTGAATATATTCAATCACCCAAAGAATGTTGGTCACAACCAGTGAGCTGCACTCCGCCCCCACCCCATCCCCACAAAAGGCAATTTGGTATTGTGGGTATGCAGTTAATGGATAAAATAAATTTTCCCTGTTTCCCGACAATATATTCTTCATACTCTGTCACAGAATCTAAAGTTTGGGTTTTTTAAAACATGCTTCTATATTTGTTGGAAATACTTCAAGTTTAGTTAGAGGCAAAAAGAGAAAGATGGTGAGGGTCTCTCCAAAGCAAGCTGTGGGCCTCGCCCATGGGTAAGTACTGCGTGGGGGCAGGAAGCAAAGGAGAGCCTGCCATACCCAGTGAAAGTAATGAAATAAATCAACAGTCTGACTAGTTCTGCTTTTGTGGCCTAGTAACTCTACCCACTAGGAAAACACAGCCCAGTGAGTGTCAGACTGTGGCCGTCCCACACTTAGAACCAGCCAGTACTGGAGCAGCTTTTTTTATTTTTTATTTTTTTGCTTGACTAAGACTTACCAAAATCTCTCTTAATGCAATAAAATGAAAGAGTCAAGACACCAAAGCTGAGCCAAAGGATTTCTTAAAATGTCACTGTACTCCTATTTGGTATTCAGATGAGCCAAAGAATTTTTTTAAATGT